GCCCCCCCACAGAGGCGGCGGAAGGTCCCGCCCCGAAATGCCGCCCCCCCACAGAGGCGGCGGAAGGTCCCGCCGCTGAAATACCGCCGCGGTCGCCGGCCCCCAAATTGTAGCGCCCTAGGCGACCACCTAGGTCGCCTAATGGATTGCGCCGGCCCTGAGCACAAGGGTGCAGATGAAGCATCAGGGCAGCCCAAACCTCATATACGTCAAACCCAAGGACAAAACAAAAGATTCTGGTAAAGACCAACCACGCAAACACAACTCCAGTTCCTCAGCGGCCACCACCACACCAAGCCCTGAGAAAACTGAGCAAAAATACACACATTCACAAACCCGGAATACGCGCTCTAGGGGTTGTGAATAAAAAACCAAGGACTGACAGACCATTCTCCCAACACCATAAGCTCGTCACAGCTCCCCCATATTCTAGTATTTGGGAAAAGTATGATGCTTCATACAGAAAACGGATGAAGATTTGGGGAAAATATGAGGCTTTGTTCAGAATACTGGTGGTTGCTATATCCTCAGGGGTCTAAAAGAAAGGAGAGCTGGAAACCACGTCAAAAATGCAAAAGCTCTGGCGGGCGACTTTTTGAAAAATACTTCACTTTTTCCAAAAGGGGGCTCTGAGCAGGCGTGACTAGCCGTGGAAAGGGGCCTGGGTAAAAAGGGCACCCTCAAGGGTACACATCAGCTCAGGTGTAAACAAAATGGGGGACAGCTCTTGGTGGACAAACAAATGGCGGCCAAAAAGTTCCAGGCCAGGGTCTCAGTAAAAATTTTAAAAAGGCTAAACAGGTAATGAGGAAAAAAGCAAAAAGAGATGCCCCCTACTGGAGGCTCTCAAACTGGCTTGTCTGAAAATGGGGAGGTGGAACCCGACTCTCACGCAGAGTCTGGTTTAGAAAATTCCCCAGAGGGCTCTCTAGAAGGTCCCTGTCTGCTCCTGATGACCCTCACGGAGGCCCCTCGGAGTCTGACTCTCAAATAGCATCTGCTGTAGAAGATGCCGCTGACGGTCCCATAGAGGAACACCCAAGTAACTCTGAAAATGCAGAGGTGTATATGGAGAGAGTGAGAAGTTGGCAACGTGAATTACCTAGATTTGGGGGGTCGGTGTATTGTGAGGAATTTCGTTTTGTCAATCCTGAGGGAATAAATTCAGCTCAGCAGGTTGTTGAAGCCATACACAGGGGAATACAGTTAGTTCTAGACGACGTTAATGGTGATTATGATGATTATGTTCAGTTACGTTTAGAGCCGAAATTTAACTAACCCTTTGTTTTCAGTCAGAAGAACTAGGCATGAGCTGTCTGCTGAGGATTTCTTAACTCAGGCCTCAAAGCTGCTACAGAGTAATAGAGAGTTGCATCTCGATGGGACGTTGCGCCTCGTTGTGACAGTTGTAAAAAACAGGGGTGGGGGCGCTCGTAGAGGTTTAAATTCTATCCGCGGTAGTGAAAT